CAGCTTTTCTTATACCTCTTAGATAATCTTATCTTGTTGCTATGCAATAAGTCATTTCCTCCTTCTGACGTCTGATCAATATCTACTCAAACGAATGACTGATAATCCATTGCGCGTCGTCTTTATTCGCAAGACTTCTTTAACATTCGTTTCTTCCCGTTTAATCGTGCTTTTCATGTATGATCAGGAAATATGTCACAAGCCAAAGATTATTTTCCGCGAGAGCAAATGGCGTGCTGATAACAGCCAGATGCACGGAAATAGATTTTTCATTAGGGAAACTGTAAACTCGCACAGTCATACCGTGTGAGCATACCAGCCTGTTTTCCCTTTTATTTTGTTTCAGAGTCGAATTAACTTTGGCACAAAATACACTTCTTGATCTAATATCACTTTCATTAAGTACTCAAGGGCTTAAGTTGCGCGGGTTATTAAATCCAAAAAGCAATATTCTTGAGTAAACATGCTACGTGATCTTCTAAAGCTTTCATAATTGCTTCATTAGATGAAAGGCCACGATTGTTTAATTTGCGGACGAAAACCGACAAAGCCGCCACATTACAGGTAATGAATGAGCTCCAAAGAAGGATTTATCTTTGCGTTTTCTACCGTGGGAAACAAACAGGTGAAGATCAACTCACTTTCCTTTTCCCGCTCTGCATACGGTGATTAGTAATACAAAGAGATCAGCAGAAGGCGCTCCTTAAATTCATTACTGTTGTGCTCACGCTCTCTTTCAAGCTGTTATTAAGTTCAATGTTGTTGACTTTTCTCGAAATAGCTAGTAAGTAAACTTCTCAACTACGTAAGAAGAATTAATTAAATCTCGAAGGCATAAGCCTCCACGAAATTTCGTACTAATCTGCTCTTCGTTAAAAGGGGAGAAAACCGAAAAGCAGATATGAAATTCCATGATGTAGAGTTTCGGTGGTTAAGGATACCTTTGCAATAATTTTAAATTAATTTCCTTCCCTTTTCATTATTTAATTTTTACTTCCATATTTACACAAAGACATTACCCCAGGCGTTCGAAAATACTAACTTTCGTAATTGCTTGAAACTCAGATACTGCAGGCTTTTCACACGTAAGCTCTCCGAGCATAATTGTATTTCACATGTGTAGTCTTAATAACTAATGAAGATGTTAAAGATAACTAAAATATTTATTTAATTACAAATATCCATAACAGCCTCTGGCAAAACTGAAAGTAGGAAACGTGCGCGAAAAGGATACTCAATTTCAGATTGCTGGGGAACAGAACACAAGCCGGTTGTCATCACTAGTGGATAAGGATAATCCATCGGTGCCACAAACACAACGATAACGGCAGAGAGATATCAACGCTCATCTGATCATGAGTTGCTTAAAGGAGCTGCACCCATATCTAGAGATCCTTACGAAATGAGATCCATATCAGTAATAAGAGGTGTTACTATACGTTTTGAATTGTTGTTGTTTTTGTTTCTGTATGTATTTTCGCCATTCTTTAAACGTGTCACCGTCAGCACAAACACATTTTTTGTCCGCCAAAATCGTTAGATGGAAACCTTGTGTCGGATTTGAAACATCTCTTTCAGACTGGGCTAAACAATTTAACATTTCAAAGAAGATTAATGATTATTTCTAAACTAGAAAGATATTCTGAAGCCAATCTTCTTAGTTCTACCAGGATATTATGCTGAGACGTTTTATGCAGAGGATATCGACACTGCTTCAAGAGTAAAAAAAGTCTGATCGATGTTCAATTAATTGTGAAAGTTATCAGCAGTCACAAGTTGAAAAAGGCAAGAGAGAGAACCGACCTAAAACATGGGAATAAAACTTCGTCATAGAGAAGTCATAACTGACATTGGGCGTTGTGTTTCCGTATAGTTTCTTGGTAAATAATCACAACAATTCTGAAAACTTGAAATTTAAGTTTTCATCGTTGGTAATAACTTCCCCAGTTCAAAGCAATAAGTATTTATTAAAATTTTCCTCATGTTGTGTTTTTTTTTGGTTTTTTGTTTTTTTTTAAGTCAAGCCCTATTGTTACGTAATGAATGCCAAGCTGCATTGCATGCTCATTATTGGTCAAGAAGCTGTAAGTTTAAAATGTTAAAACTTTGGAAAACATTTTATAAATTATAGCCCCAAATAATGAATTTCAACAAAAACAGCTTTGCATTATTCTGGAAAAATTGCATTTTTGAGAAAAATTCTTTTTTTCTTGTCAAGAAACGTTTTCCTCTTTAGTAAGCTAAATAGCAGCCATTACAATTTTTCCCGTGCCGGCTGTCAGATGTAAATTTATTATAATATACATTTAAGGCGGCTTTTCCTTGGAAATTGAAAATCTCATCAGATGATGTCTAATATTATTAATAAAATAATATTGCAAAGCTAGCTATCCAATTTCCGTACTATATTATTGCGACTAGCTTTCTAAGGTAAATACTAAAATCACCCCTGGAAATTTTAATCCCTACCGCGGGCACAATTGATAAATAAATTTCATAGTTTTATAAAGGACGGAGTTCAGTTATTGAATTTTGGTATGGAATAAATGCATTAAAAGTTCTCCGCAAATTGCCTAAATTTATATAATGAACTATGTAATGAAAAGACGAGGGAGCTAAAAGAGAGATCTGTGATAAAACTCCATGATAACTGAATGAGTGCCGCTCCCTAACTTTTTCGCTAGAAAACGGGCAATCTTTCGTTACAGGACAAGGTTTTTTACGTTAGTGTCTGGAAAACAAATTGAAATACGGAAGCAGGTGATCACAGTCTTTAGAAAGTGCAAGGATATTAAAGCGGTATAACACAAAGAAACAATAAATATACTTATTGCTCAATCTATAGCATGGTTATTAACGATTCAATCGGCGCTGTGTTATCACAAAAGATGAAAAGTAGTATTGACTCGTGTGAGTTACATTGCTCCTGTCATCTGTTAAATTGCTTCCTATGATTACAATTTATTAAGAAGTAAAACAAACTGGCCTGGCTTGTTCCGAGGATGGATAACGCGACTCTATAGGTTAAATCTCTATTCGGTGAATAATAGAGTACGTTTTGATAAATCTTATCCACTGGATAGCGATTGACCCGTCGGATGGCGTTTTTCACCCTTTGAGCATTAGGGCCTTGGTTCAATTTTTGTGAAATAATTTCCTTGTCATGCCTGTTGTCGAGAGGAAAAAGGTTATTCTTTAAAAATGTACTAAAGTTCATCGGTAAAACTACACGTACGTGCTGTAAGATGAGCCGTCAAGACCAGCAGAGGCGAATTGGACTTTGAGTCGTAATCTGGTCTTAATTTGAAATTACATTTTCGTCCCACATAGGATATTTGTTCTTCAATTGAACGTGATGAGATTCATATCCAGAGTAGATCCATTCTTAAGGTTTCACAACTGGCAAATGTCAATCTAATAAAAAAAATTCAGACCTACACAGTTATGCATGAGTCACTGCTAAATTCTTTGATGACGCGATGTTAATAGATTTCACCTTTTTGGTTTTTTACTTTTGTTTTTCATGTTGGTTTTCAAGGATTGAAAAGTTCAAACTTGAATTTTTCTATCTACAAGTAATGATTCTCTGTGTGCGTGTTTTCTTAAAACCTGTTAAGGATCGAATTTACCATACATAATGGACGATTCAGGATCAAGGTTTTATTCCTTTCACAGTTAGTTTTGGGGGGTGATGCAAGGTTTGAAAGCAGTTGAGGATATAAACTGCGCTGATAGCTCTTAAGTAGAGCCTGTATCATTGAGAAATATCAAGACAATATGCGGACGTAACTGCCATCACTACTGAACAACATGGGTGCAACACAAAGATATGAAGACGCCGTCTTGATTCAAGCTTTTACGTTATCAGCTAAAACCACTTCAATGCAACCTTAGTGTAACATTAGTTTATTCTTAGTTGAATTCAAACACAACACAAATTTCGAAAACAAATGACAAATTGCGTCATAATGCAAATGAAAGGAGACTCGCTCGATGAAAACATTCTGGATCAGATCAGAAGTCAAACAAGAACGGATTAAGACACTAACAGGATTCGAAGCACAGACCCTCCGATTTGTAAGGCGGTCGTGCAAAGTTTTATAGCGTCAATAACCTTCAATAACCATTGATCATAAATTCTATCCCTTTACATCTTAACTAGTGACTATGCCCTTTTTTGAAATCCTCTTAAAAAATATAAACTCCGTGTTATCTTCATAGTGAAATAAAGTACTTTTTTGCGTGGTATTGACTGATCATATTAACCGGGTAAGCACTTTCCACCTGCCCCAAGAACCTGCAAAGATATCTAGCATCTTGTCAGTCTTACTTTAAGGAGTGGTTAGGAGACACCATTACG